CATTAGATTGATTCCTAGATATTTCATTTTTTGGATGCTATTGTGAAAGAGATTGTTTCCCTAATTTCTCTCTCAGTGAGTCTGTTATTTGAGTACAAGAAGGCTATTGATTTTTGATTGTTCACCTTATATCCAACTACCCAATAGGTTTTTTTGCTGAGGCCTTTGCCTTGGTTTCAGCAGTGGGTATTTAATGTTCAGTGGTTAGCTAGTTAATTTTAAAAGCGGCTAAATGTGAATAATTATAAAAGCCATCACTTGCATGGCACTTGCTGTGTTATATGTATATAGTACTGTTATAAGTGCTATGGGCAGGGCTGGGGATTTAGCTCAGTTGTTCCAGCACCTGCCTTGCAAGCACAGGGTCCTGAGTTCGATCCCCAATACCAAAAAACAACAACAACAATAATAAGTCCTATGGACATATCTTATTTAATTCTCATTAAACTACCAAAAAGTAGATATATTATTTACAGATAAGAAAATCTGAGATGTGGAGAAGTGACCTAACTCAGTGTCACACAATTACTATGTGCAAGAGCCAGGATTCACTCCCAGAGAGCTGGACTTCAGAGTTTTAATTACCATACTTTAGTGCCAGAAAGGTTACTATAACTTCTCTCATCAAGGATCATCCTCGCCAGATGGCACAATGGCTTTTCATGAGAGAGGATAGATGAGAATGGCTGAAAACATGAGAAGACATGAACAAAGACAAAAAAGGCTATAGTGACTTGTTTAAGATTGCTCAATGAGGCAAGCAGGAAAAGATCCATTAGCACATGCATCAGGCCTCACTATTCTGACTTCTGTCTCCAACAGACAAAAACACCCACTTCTAGCAATAATTTCTGGACTCTTAAGGAAGATTACCACTTGGAAGTAAGGGTGATGGAACCAGGAACTAGAGAAAGGCATGGCTGGGAAGCAGGTGCACAGTCCCGTACATAATAGGCAGTGCTTAATTGCCAAGTTTTCTTTCACCTCTTCAGTACTACTAAAGGCTAGAGACAAAATGAATGGGTAAAAGAAGCATAAACAGGGCTTAACACCCACCCAATAAACAGTCTCTTCATCAACCCCTCCCCATTCTGCAATGCCTGGGGGCAAGCAGACAATTCCAGCCCTGGCCAGGGGTGATGGAGATGGATCTACTAGCATTGGCAAACACCTGTTCTAATGCTGTAGCACAGGTGTTATAAGTCTTAGCCTGGAGCATCTTTGCTGTCTTTCAGTGGGCTGAAAATAAAAGGCTGAAGTGCAGGTGAGAAGACTTAGCCCACTAAAGTAAGTTGTTTGAGTGAGATAGCTTGTGGAAGAAAGTCTGTCTCATGTTCACCACTGCTCTCCATGGAATCCAAATGCAGGACTGTGACTGCCATCAACCAATTACAATGACAGTCTTTAAACATAATTAAAATTTGCCCACCCTCCCTTTTCTGAGACTAGAGAACTCATGCTCAGAAATGACCTAATGTTTCATCTTTGACATTTCAGAATAATCTTGAAGGATTTATATTATACGTCACAGAATCAAAGGGAAAGGAGAGAACAATCAACTCACTAGGTCTTGTTCTTTTCCTATTCCTTTATCTGGGAGTGGTCTGTTTTCTGAAAATGTATGAAGTAACAATAATTTCTTTGGAGCCTGTATCCAAACAGTAAATTTAAAAACATGATTTATCATCTTGATATGTTCACTTGTCCATTTATGAAGACTTTTGTATGGAAGACTGACAAGGAGAGGGCTTTTTTAGAGCTTAGTTTGTCTTACGTTGTACCCAATAATTCAAACCTATTCAGAGTATTTTCCTGAGTTAGGAACCTGTGAAATGAAAATGTCACAACTGTCAGTGAAAACAATGAGCAAGATCAATACAAAAAGCAACCATTGGGGAGGTGCTGGGGACACTAATTTAGCATTCTGTGTCTGCAGAAGACCACACTTTCTGAGAAATTTTCAGTACTAGACTAACATGCAATGTAAAAGAATTCCCCTACACCTTGTGATTTTGTTAGTTGCTGAATGTACTTTCTAGCAAACCATGCTAACACCTAAAGGACCTAATGCCATAAGGCCACTCTTTAATCACCTCTTAAGAACAGTTTTCTGATAGTCATTTATACTGCTTGCATCATTTCTTTGGTGGTACAAGTGTGGCAAAGTATAAAACTGTTGAGTGCCTGAATAATCTTTATTGTGTCTGCAAGGCTGTGTTGAGATATTCTGACACTGCAGGAATCACGATTATTCATGCATAGATTTATACTGGCTTCTTTATAGAAGACTGACAAGGAGAGAACTTAAGAGCTTCATCTGTTTTATATTGCACTCAATAATTCAGGATATTGAAACCAAAGTCTGATTTAATCTGTCTCTATCACATTATCTAAATTTTCTTTTCATTGTCAAGTATATGATTAAAATAGGAAACATTTTCCCTTTCCATCCCCCAAAGTAGTTCAAATTTAAAAAGTAAAAAATTTAGAAGCACCGATCCTTCCCTCCTTCTTTCATAAATAGCTTTTATCTTGTGCTATTTATTGATCCTCAATTATATTCTTTTCATAATGTGCTCCAAAACAAACTTGCAGACATGCATTTTCCATAATGTTCTACAAAACAGACTCATTAACTTTGCTATTATTTTTATGGCAATATGTTTATTTGATAACTTAGGATCTGCTCAAAATGTGTCATTACAGGTGAGAACCTTCTAAAAACCTGAGAAACTTTCTATAGTCAGAATCAACAACTAATATCTCTTCCCTCCAGCTCTGCAGCATCCCAGCAAAAGCCTTCTGCAGCTGATTACATAAGATATCCCTGTGTGAATGCAATAACAGGTATAACATGTGTGATCTTGATAGAGTCAAGCCCTTCTCCTATGTCAGGCTATAGGGGAACCATTTACAGCTCACAAAGACTGCAACTTCTAGGGAATGGCCACAAAAACCAGGATAGAGGTAGGATATTATGAAACAGATCAGCATGAGAAACACCCATCCCCAGAAAGGAACTTGGCCAATTCTGGGCTCAAGTATACATCTCTTACTTTTTTTACATATTATAATAGGTAATATAGCACTGAAGGAAACATAGCCATGATGGATGCTATAAATGTAGTTAATTCTGCTGAACAAACAGGATATAAAATATAGTCCTACAGGAACCCAGTCAGAATCAGAATTAGAATAAATTAGTCCAACAGCTCCTGTACAGTTCTTGAATTATTCTGGTCAAAATGACTTTCAATCTATAATAACTCATAATCCACAGGTTGGCTATTTTCCTTGTTTCTTACTGCCAATGTTCTATATTCTCTTGCACAATATCTTAAATTGCCATTTAATGGATTTGCTCTGCTTGGGTAGCTGAACTCAGGATCTCTCCCTCAATGAGGCTACAGAGCAAATTCATGCAACAGTCAGCCTTCTGTACCTCTTCCAGTTCTAAAACTGTGTGAGTTTAGAAGGGACCTTCCCAAGCCCGGCCTTTGCTGCTGCCTCTGATTCTCCAGTCACTCTCATTATGAGAATGGGCAGAAAGGCAAGCCAGACCTGAGCAGCAGCAGACACTCCAGAACCACCATACACTCTTATATAGCCATTTATACTCTCCTTTTTAATCATCCCCAATATCCAACATTCTGGTTACCAGATGAATCTGAAGCTGGAGGTGCACCAATTGTGAAGCAGCTCAACCCTAATGTGAAACAAAACTAAAAACAGGTCCTCTGGAAAATGATCCCCCAAGCTTTCTGTGGGAAGAAGAGTCTTCTCTAACACTTTGGCTTAAGAGAAGAATAGCTGGAGATAAAGAAGGAAAGTTGACTGGCCAGTCCTGTGAAAATGACTGGCTGGGTATCAGTGGCCCTGAGAGGATCCCCTAAAAGAGTGCTGCGATTCCTTATCATCTTAACTAAAAGCAATAACAACAACAAGATTTACATTCACAGGGCATCATCCCAAGATTCACCTACGTGTCCTCAGTTCTCATGACTGCTTCCACCAAGTTAGAGAATAAGGCCACAAGGAGGTGGTGTTCAGGCCCTTATGAGAGCTGCTGGTCAGAGTCCACACTCAGTGACTCAGTCCCTGGAAGATGGGTTCAGTGCATGGGGGCAGGGCTACTGCTGGTTTAGCAGCTTGTCCATTATGCTGATTTTAGCTTCTTGCTTCTCAAGTCCTCATATGGAGTCCAGGATAAATCATGCTGTAGTTTGTAGGCACCAAGGAAGTCATGCGGACAACTTGCTCCCCGTTCCTTTGGAGAAATAATGGAAAAGTATCGCTGGCCACTCTCCCGTTGATAAAGATAATAAATATTGCCAGGTTTTTTCAGCATATTACAAGCTATGTGGTGCAAGTCAGCATCTCTTTGGGCATTCTCCAGAACTTTTCTGGCTTGTTCTTGCAAATGTTGGACTTGTTCAGCTATAACTGACAACTTGCTGGTGGCATTTGTTCGGATGAATTCATCAGCCTTCTGGACCTGCTCTGCGAGCGCCACGAGGTCCAGCAGGTCCCCCCCGACCCGGTGGGTGTGGTAGGGGCTCACCAGGGCCAGACAGCCAGGGGGGTCGGCGTATGTTCCACCAGCGCTCCTGCGACACACAGCGGAAACACAGGCCGTGAGCTCTCGCCCTCTGCCTCCCGCGGAGACCAGAGGCGAGCAGCTCCGCGGAGGCTTCTTGACCCCGGCTGACCTCCGTCCCGCCTACCTCCCTGACCAGCCACTGCTGGAACTACTCAACCTCCCCCACCTCTCTCTGCCTGCCCGGGGACCTCAGCGCCTGGCCCCGGGCACTTTGCTATTATTTTTGAAGTTGATACTCCCAGTTTATTAAAATCTCACTGATGAAAGGGCACATGGAGCATGGCAAGATGCTTCAGTAGTATTGTGGAGGGTTGCTGCATTTGCCTGGTTTCTCTTTTCTCCGCCTAGCAAAGGTGACCTCCGTGGCCATTGATACTCAGATATTTTTCATTTTCAGCAGAGTTCTGGTGAGGAAGAGTCTCTAACTGAACCAAGACCATCAACCAGGAAATCTGGGATTAAGGGTGATTCCAAACTTCCAGCAATTGACCAAACACCAGTCAAGCAAAAACATAAAAGTACTATGACTCCAAGGAAACCAGAACAAGTGGGCTCCAGAAAAACCTCTCCAGGTGAGTGGCCAGTGTATTGAAATTCATGACGTCTAAATTTTCTGTCTTAAAGAGCACAACAGTGAAATAGGTGATATTAGCTGTACTTGGTATTTTCCAGGTGGTTCATTCAAGTTTTAGAAGGTCAATGATCTTAAACAAATGGTTAAATTAATTTCAGAGTCAAAGAAGCAAAAGTAACTGGCTTATCTATTGTGCAAAGTAACTGCCTTGTCATGTTCTTCACCCTTCTTGGGGGAATAAAGACGTTTGGCCCCAGGTATCAAGTTTTATGATTCAGGCAAGAAGAGCTTTCAAAAGCATCTGAATGGCATAATTTATAGCCAAGAGGGAGAGTAATAAAGTTCTCTAGTCCTGGGTTTGTCCTCTGTGGGAGAAAGGAAGTTGATAAATCCTCTCTTTTGTGCAATTTGGTAAATAATTCACTCTGTCGCTGCCTTTTGAAGCACAGAACAGTCTTCTGCTTGGGGCAGGAGTGTCTTAGTAGTATCTAGAAAGGAGCTAAAATCAACAGAAAGTTAGAGTTCCTCAGGCTCATCCGCATCAAAACCAACATCTGTGGGAAGAACTTGAATCCTTAGGGAACTACGCATAAGTCGAGGTAACTAGGTGGAAAGGTCTGCCTTCTGGGAAAGGATCCAAACTGACTGCTGAGGAATTCCTAAATAGCATGCAATTCATTAAAATCCCAATCACAGCTACTTCCTAATCCTAAATAGCTCTTGTCATGCAACCACCCATCCAGTTAAGTCTAAATGCATTTTTAGAAAATGGCAGCTTTCACTCAGATTAACCACCCACATTTTATGGCTTTAATGAAGTCAAAACCAAATTGACATTTTTCCCTCTTGGTGCTGGAGATGAAACCCAGGGCCTCATGCATGCTAGGCAAGCATTCCACCACAGGGCTACACTCTCAACTACCAGCCCCCAAACTGACTTCTAAAATGATGTCCTCGCAGGCAGAGTCCCAACTCTCCCTCCTTATTTAATCAAAGGAAAGCATCCTAGTTATTTTTTCATTTTAAAGACTTTCAGTAAGAATTAGGCTTTTATTTCAACTGTTTTAAGGCTGAAATAGAGCAAATGAGGTCATTCTGCAAATATCTCAAAATATAATTTATAATTTATTGAATTGAGGATGTTTTATACAACTCTATTCACTATAATTTTTAGCCTTCTTGTTGAAACCTGGTAGCTATTTGTTTTGTCATCTGCAGAAAGAAATCATTAAAATGAACTGTTGCGGCTTACTCAATAATTTAGTTTGTCTGATTAATACAGATGTGTTTTCAGATTGAGCAAACTCCATATGGAATTTACAACATTGACAAAAAGAGATTCAGTTTTCATCCTATAAAACATCAAATTTGAAGAATTACCAGACTGAAAAATACCAAGGTTTAAGCAGGAGAGCCAAGTTGGCAGGAAGATAACTTTTTCATCAAATAAGAGATGTTACTTGTCGTAACAGCATTTACAAACCACCAGCTTTATCGCCATAATATGGCCCTAGCCTATGTCCAAGACTCAGCCAGCTGTAAGCTGTCCAGCCAGCCCTGTGGTCCTGGGGACTGATGTCAATGCCACAGAGGCTGAACCGAGGCTGCAGCAACCTGGGTTGATCAAGATGTTGCCTAAAAGCACACCACTGGTGTGTTACAGTCCATTCACCAAACGAGTGTAGACTCACTTTCTGACTTCCTCACTAGCAGAGTGCCCTTTTAAAATTTTTATTCTGAGACACACTCTTGAAAATTTGCCCAGGCTAGCCTACTATTTACTGTTCTCCTGCCTCAGCTTCCCAAGTAACTAGGATTACAGACATGAACCACTGTGCCCTGCTATACTGGGCTTTTACTGAACTTTAAAAAATATGAATTTATATGATAATAACCTATATCATAAAGAGGTTTTGTTTGAATATGAACTGTCATCTAGAAACCCTGAAACAGATATTAACAACACAGGGCAAATCGGTGTCCTCTACAAAGAGATTCCTGAGGCAGTATCAGGTTCTCACTATTGTTCACACTATCCACAGGAAGTCACACATTCAAGTTTAAGCTCATATGTTCCATGGAACTGCTTTGGGTATGTTGACTCACGAGACCCCTCATTATCCCTGTGTGTGTGGTGGGGCATGAAGTCTACTGGCAAGTGCTCTGGAAGCAAAATGCTTGGATTAGAACTCCATTTCTTATTTGCCATATGTCTTTTGGCAAGTAATTTCTCTGTGCCTGAGTCTTGTCATCTGTAAAATGGGAGGTAAAAACAGGTCCTATGTGCTGGCAACAGTTCCTGACACTGTAATCACGCAATACATTATAGCATTATGATATCTAGCACATGAGAGCAGCATTTGGTAAAGAGAATAGAATAGAAAACATTATTTTCCTTGTCTTAACATTGTCCCACCCCCAATTTGTTTTTCCTTCACAAAAATCAAAGATGTATTTTTAAAGTCTCTAACATAAATGCAGGTACAGAGACTTTTACTATGCTCCAAAGTAAAACATCAAATGGAAAAAAAGATGAATAATCAGAAAGCATTCCCCAAGCCAGAGATATGCTTTATCTTCAAAAAGACCTGGAAAATTCAGGCAGTTTCAAGACCCAGCTGGGTGTGATGTGCAACTGATTCAGAAATTCTCCTTCATGACCAAGGTGAACACTGGTGTGGCATGAGAAATAAACCTAACAAACACAGTTGCTTACATTTCAGAATTCTCTATGTATCAGTGAGATGCAGAGCAGTCAGCAGGCCCAGAAGGGACAATCAGGGAGCTCTGGTGGCCTCCAACTCCTGCCTGCCCTCACACCTTTCCCAGCCCCAGCCTGGGTTGGAAAGGAGCCACTTCTCCTTTCCAGGACATTGGACGGCACCCAAAGGCCACTGTGCTGTGGGGTTCTGGCTCCAGAAGTCCTGAAGTCCTCTGTACCCCACAGCCAGCCACATGGGAAGCCACTGTGCCCTCTCCAACTCTTTGCTCTCACCTGGAGCTTAGGCAGAGCCTGCCTCTAATTATGTTCCAGGAAAATGGATCTGGATGGAGTCCTGAGAGCTTGCTTCCAAAATTTTGCCCTTTAAAACAAAGCCAAGTATTCTGAAATTATCCTCACTTATTATTGAGTTCAATGTTAGTCATTATAAGATTCAGATTAGTAGGAAGAGCAAGACCTATTCTGTCTTATTGTGGCCTATCTTGAAGACATGTTCTCGTAAAACTAAGCAAAAGCAGTGAGTTCAGGTTTTAAAAGATAAAAATCTAAAAAAAAAACAAAAACAAAGATAAAAATCTAAAGTAGCTGTGGTCCCTTTTGGATTGGGAAATATTTATTTAAAGAGCAGCCTGGAAGAGAATCCTAAATCTTCATCATTTGCCTTGTAAATAAATTCTATTGAAGATTTTCTCTGAAAGGCCAAGATTAATAGTTTCTTGGCAAGTCCAGTTGGTGTCCAACAACTTTCTGAGCTATCTGCCCAAGTTAGCAAAAATAAAAACAATGGAAATGAATACTCCCATTTTAATAGAGAGAATGATAACTCTCAGTCTATGTATTTTTTTTTTCTTTTGGTACCAGGGATCGAACTTGGGTCCTTGCGCTTGCGCAGTAGGCAGTGAAACGCCTGAGCTAAATCCCCGGCCCCTCAGTCTCTTTTCGCTAACAATTCTGAGACAGAGAGGCTCAGGAGCATCACAGAGCACAGAATGTGAACTCCTGGCTTAGAATCCTGGCTCTCCCTCTCTATAGCCCTATAAATGGGAGCTGGTGACTTCTCTGATCTCAGTTTTCTCATTAGTAAAATGGAGTTACAGCATTACCTGCCTCACCATGTGGATAAGAGGATTATGATCCTGGATATCGACTGGGCCTTAGGTAAAGGTTGATCCCCCAATCTTTCCTCTATTTATGAAGCCTGCTTCAAACTCCACCAGGGCCAGTATCTCTGTGTGAAAACTCCTTGGCCAAAGGAACTTTAGTTTGAGATGTTAGACACAGTATATCTTAGTTCTGAAAGCTTTAAATTGATTATTAATGCAGTAAGCCATTTATCTAGTGCTTATGGGGAAATTAGCAAATACATTCAACTGCCCCCTTGTCCCAAGGTGTATAATACCAGGGAGAATTGGTTTTCTCACCCATCACTCATTCATTCAGCCCTTTCTTCACTTCATGAAGCCTCTCCTTCAGAAATGAGATACAGAAATAAAACACTCAAGACCTGCCCTCCAGGGGCTCCTTGCCTAGTGGGCCATCAGGGCACTGTACACCCTAACCGAGGTAAGTCCCATGAGCTTGTGGTAAGCACAAGCAAGGTAAAAATTCTGAAGAACAAGGACTTAGCCAGGTGAAGAGAGCAAGAAAGTAGTGCCCAACAAGAAATGCTGAGAATGCAAAGGCCTAGAGGAGAAAGGCAAGTAAACAGACATCAAGGAGCTAAAAATTGTGCCTCTGAATGTCCCCAGACCAGTAGCAGAGGCATTACCAGAAAGCTTGTTAGAAATGCAGAACCTGATGCCTCCACCCAAACTTACTGACTGGTAAACTGTACCTAACAAGACTTTAGGGATATTTGCATGCACATGAGTTTGCGAAGCTCTAGTTTATGAGCACCTTCAAATTAGGAAGTATAGAGGATGAAGTTGTAGCTTCATAGGTAAACAAAGGTCCTGAAGAACCTTGAATGTCATACTGCAGGTGATGGAGCACCACCAGTCATCAAAGGGGCCTATGCAGGGAAGTGATACAGTCAGACTGGCATAGTTAAGCTGGTACTGCTTGGGAGAAGGTGCTGGTTGGGAGAGTGAAGGTAGCCAGATGCAGCTGAGAGACCAGGAAACCAGAATTGTGGTGGACCTGGAGAGGAACAGAAGGGCTTGACCTGGAGTGAAAGCGGAGAGGATAAGGAAGAGAGTGTGAGCCTGAGGGGTATTTAAGGAAATATGCCTTGCAGGATCCGGAAAAGGAGAGTATCAGAGAATTCGGGGATCTCA